AATAATTATTATGAATCACCGATGATCATTCCGAGATCAATTATATTATGAAGAAAAGTGACTGATTCTGGTTAGATTAGTCACCATCTGCTTAAGTCATCACCTGTGTTAAGTCATCATAGTCATCATGTACGTTAGTCAGTTTTAAGCCCATCTCATATGACTGACCGACCATCGATGTTCTTTCCGCGCGAGGGTGTTAGTTTTCAATGCGTCTTATTATTTACGCTGGTGGATGTAAGACCTCCTACCCTCACTGACGCATCTATGGTCAATTTGGTGTTATTCTTGTTTATAAATGCCTTCTAATCTGTCTCAAGTCTATCTGTCCTCTCTATTGCCATCCCAACTGTCTGTTCGTCTGCGTGGTGTTTGAATGTAAGCCCGTCTGTACTCTTTGTGTCGTCAAATGTCTGTCTTATCCGTTGTTGGCGTGTGTCTGCCTGTTTGTCTAATGTGAACCAGTCAGTCAGCTGTCTGTATGTCTGTCTGTCATGTTAGCTGCCATATTGTCTATTTGTGCATGTATGAATCTGTCTATTTTTGTCAACCTCCTGTCTGTTTCAATGTCTATATTCACCCTGTGTCTATTGTAGTCATCTTCTCCATGCATTCCTGTTATTATCTTTTATCTCTTCTCCTTTTCCATGAACCACAGGAATAAGTATACACTGTAGCTGTAAGGTCGTCTGGTAACGTTGAAACTGCGCATCCAGACGCATGATGAAACTCGCCTCCTCCCACCTGTTATCTCTAACTATTTTCTGTTTCCCCTTCTTGATTCTTCTATTTACTCCTCTTCCTTCCTTTACTAATCCAAACAACATTAAAAAAAAGTGGGGGGGGGGGGAAGAGGGAGCCATACGATAACTGCAATCGTGGGCTGACAGCGTACAGCGAATGAGGGTGCACTAAGTCTGTAGACTTGCATCGTTTTCCAGCGTAAATAAAATGGTTATGTAATGGCTTCTTAAAGAAACCATCGATATGAGACCAGGTTTGTTCCACTCTACGATTTTTTTGCGATTTTTCCACCAAGTTTGATGAAAAACGATTGTGCCGCCTCGGCTGCCCAGAACAGACACACACACACACACACGCCTAGTCCTATAGTATATTATATAATATTATCTACTTTAATTCATACGGAAAAAGTGACTTCCACATTAATGAAATTCCTTAGAACAAAAAATTGGTCATTACCAACATACTCCTTATGGAGACACCTGTGAAAATCAATAAATTTTTCTGATACACAAAGCTCGTATACCCATCAACTCAACTAATAAGTTGTAATACCTAGTAATTGTAAACTTAATGTAATCAGTTGAGTGACAACAACATTATGGGATGGTGTCGGAGGAATCGTTGTTTAAATGTGTGCTGCAGATCAGTCAGTAAGAAGTACCATCCTTGTGTCTGAGGGATGGCAACCACAATCCTGCACTCTAAATATGTCCAACTGTTTGGGAGGGATACTTCATCATGCCGACTCAAAAGCAAGCGGTCAACACACTGACATTGCTTAACAACCTCGAAGTGAGACTGCTTACTAAGGAGACTTGGCAGAAGGTGACGCTTTTGATGATGATGACGACGACGACGACGACGAGTTAAGAAAAGGAAAGTTGTCAGAATTTACATACAAAACTAAGAAAATTTGTGCAACAATTAAGATCTTCCTAAGGAGAAAAATAACCAGCAGTGGTTCTCTTCTATCATGGTATTCGAACGTTGCCAATGACGGAGGAATTATCTCTGAAAAATATCTTTTGTCGGAGCTCCGAAGTATATATTTCAGCTTCAAACGTCAGCCTGGTTATCATCGGTGATTATTCTTTATCACCACCAGTTTTAATTAAGCAATAAAAGGTTTAATTGTCTTGCTACTGAGTATATGTCGAGCTACACCATACTTGAGCACCACTGTTGGCGAGAGGAAGAAGGTTTATTTCGTGTCGCTTCCTAATGAGTGTTAATGTGAGAAGAAAAACGCCAAAAGCTGTTGATTGCTTCTCATGGTGATGTTATTTTTGTAGGGATTTTAGCTTGCATGTTGACCATGTTTCTATAAGTGTTCTAACCTTATCTATATTAAGAGTACACATACACACACTGCCACGGCCACTACTGAATAACCTTCTGCTTTCAGCAGTGCTCCAACTCCTAGGACTATTAATCAGACTCACGTTCTGAAATAACGGCTGTGGTTAACAGACCAGGCTATGTAGACACTCCTTGCTACCTCTGGATGATAATTGAAGGTGACATTTAGTACAAACACACTGTGAGAAAACATTCAAGGAAAACTATTATTTATACTGTGCAAATTGGGTTAGAACAGAGAAATTACTAATTTATAACAATTAACAATAAAACAAAGAGTACAGACACTGACACTGCATGGCCTTGTGGGCCAACTGATTTAGTAAATTATCAATCTTAATCTCACAATAAGGCTCTTCCTCCATTCACAAAAGTATCACTTAGTATTCACCCTAAATGTTGGTGAATAAATTAATAACAATATGCAGGATATACAATGGATGAAACAAGATTACAATCACTGTCCTGATCTAACATCTGCACCTTGTATTCACCTGTGGAGGAGAGAGCGTATCCAATGTAAACAAACAATACATATTTTCCAATTAGAATATTAACTCATAACTTCTTTGTATAAGTATTGTATAAGTGCATAATATTATATGATTACAAAATATTAGAAATTACATTGAACCAATATAATTCACATTCAATACACAAAATAAACTAACTTCAAAGGATATACCCCCTGTACTTCATTTTACATCTTTCATAGAAAACCAAACCGCTCTTTCAACGGTGACTGATATAAGAGAACATGCGGAACCATCTTGGTATATTAACAGTATGTAAATACATAGCCATATGTACTGTAACCCCCCCACACACACACACACGAGAAACCACACACTTCCTTCAGCCTTCATAGGGTAAGGACGTGTGTAGTCGGCGCTGTCTCTTGACCATGGAAACAGCTGCCAGCCTGGTCTGTCGAGCCCTCCCCTTCCCCATCTCCTCCTTCCAATCTGGAATTATCAACATTCTCACACCAACAGTTCAGTGCTACCTTACCCGAACAAAGATTGTGGGGTGGGCGGTGTTTACGGAGAAGAGGTCCTGATTCTGCTAAATGAATGGTTTAAAGGATGGCGTGGCCGCCTGGACTCCAGGAGATCCCTCTCTCGAGTGATGCTGTGAGGACCAGCCCTCGAGTGATGCTGTAAGGAGCAGCCTTCTGCTCGCACTGATAAACACCACACAATCCTGTCCAAGAATTTGTGCTGAGACTCTTTACGCAGTACTGTTGTCTCTTGGAACACCATACTGATCTGTAAGCACAGCATAAGTGAAGACATACCCCTCGGTACTGAAATATTTGTGACTAATTACGTCTACTCGTTTCTGCCTAACTTGGAGTAATAAGACAATGCAGAATGAAGCGAAGCTAAGATTAATAGAGTTATGAACTTTGTATCATGTCACTATGCTCAATAATCAATTATAATTAAGACAAATTGTGTGAGACTAACTGATTATGTATCAGATAGATCATCATGTAATACTAATGAACGCTTTGTTCTCTGCAGGTTTGGACCACATCAATAAATATTGAATGCGTCAAAAGACGGGTTTCAATCATTCCCTTTGACTTGCCCGTCACCTGAACGTCTTTATTCCCAAGGCGTTTATATCCATATGGTGGAAACTAATGGCAATAAACAAAACCATCTTGGTGCCTTGGTGCTTCTTCATCGCGGACGTACGATCACTTCCCAGACGTAGCCACGGAATAACTTACGGGCATAAAACTGTTTTATGTATATACCAATATGGGTGAAGAATGAAACAAAAATATATAAATAATTATGCATATATTTTTTTCCTTAGCTAGTTGTTAGTTTCGTATGGTGGTAGTCACATCTGGCGGTGATTCAATTAGATAATAGTGATTTACGTGTACTGATGTGTCCGTGTTGTGGTGTGTGTGTGTGTGTGTGTCAGAGTAAGGCCACAACTGTTTACTGTACATAAAGAATATTTAGCCATTTCAAAATCAATTTCCGATAAAGCCCATCCAGGGATTCTGGCTGAGCAGATTATTAAATAAAATATTGCACTTATGTTCTTCTGGATAGGCTGCAGGGAGTCAGAAGTCCAATTATATCATTAGGTAATTGACTGTGAAGTTTTGACAGGGAAACAATAGAATGAGGCTGGATAACAAGGTAGATGTGTGTTATGACGGCAGTTTAGGGGGCAGTCATTTGATTTCTTAACTGAATGACCTATGAACCACAAAGAAACACATATACTGCCATTAGCAGTGTGTGGAATAACTGATGTGTGTGTGTATGTGTGTGTGTGTGTGTGTGTGTGTATGTGTGAAAACCTGTCGTACATCTTGTTGAACAAAGTGAACTGAATAATAACCTTTGTGGCGATTTCTGCTGAAATTAATGTTCCAGGAAAGGACCAATAACTGAGTTGTTTTTAACTGACAGCAGTGACATAGGATATTCTTTTAGTGCCGAAAGTAAAAATCCCATCTCTCTCTCTCTCACTCTCTCTCTCTCTCTCTCTCTCTCTCTCTCTCTCTCTCTCTCCTTCTATCACCATTCAAAATAATTTATTAGTAATTCCATTTGGTGTAAAAGAATATGCAACATATGTCAATTACCAAACCCAATCGTCACCAACGGTACATAATCTTATTGTGCAAACCCGCTCGTTCAGTCGCGTTCTTCCAGTGATGAACCGCAGGCAGGGGTTTCTTATTTCTGATGGATTTAACTATATGCTGTAGAGAAGCGAGGTGTTTATTCACTTGTGGCAGTTGGTAAAAAAAAATATGGCATTCTAGAGAGAGAGAGAGAGAGAGAGAGAGGGGCAGGCACCCGTGTTAGTGATGGGAGGTGGTGCAGTGGATGGCTGGGTCGTCAGTATGTGCGGGAGAGCCGTGGGTGCTGGTTGTGTGTGTGAGAGGAGAGAGCGAGTTCTCCAGCCCGCAACCTCTCACTAGCTGTTGCTCTTACCGTTTTCGAATTCGCTGTTTTTAATCTGTGGCTAATTTCGTCTTAGCTTCATTGTCCTTCAGATTGATAATGAAAATAGCATTATTCTTATTGATAATTTCCAATTTATATAATAATATCTATACTAATGGAATGCTAATTATAACTAAAGACGTAATCTTTAGCGTTATAGGAGCGAGACAAAAGTGTGCGACTACGTTCTCAGCGTTTGTGTTGACGGTAAAGTGACTTCAAGATATAAACGTACATAACTCGAAAGGTTCTTTTGTGATTAAGGTGTCTAAGCTTTCTATAACCCTGTCTATAGAGAGTATATTCCCGAGTCTTTTTTATCGTTTCAACTTCCTATAGTAAGAATGTATATATGCATAATTTACACACACACACACACACACACATCAACAGGGTCATGTACGTGCTACTATACACAAAAACCACAAACATAATGACTACACACACTAACACACATACATTTTTTTATTTATCCAGATAGATAAAAATTATAGATAAATGCACGTACACCGACTTGTATATATGTACAACATACGTGCACTAATAAGTAAACACACGTACACGAGAACATATAACCATAAAAGCTCCAATACACAGATATCACTCACACACGAACACACATGCAGTACACTTATGGAAACATACACATGCAGGATTTTATTCTCTCACGCTCTCATAAATTATCATAACCAATATTTTCATGAGTTATTATAAACTAAAGTGGCTAATAATGTGTCATCTTAATTTCAAGCCATATCACCTCATTAAAAGTTTGTTAAGGTTTTACCCAGCTTTTAACTACACGTGAGTATTAAATTCATTTATTCTTTGATTTTTCGAGCTTTCTTCACTAAGATATTTATTTATTGCTTTAAGTTGAAGCTTAGGGATGTTAACACCCAGAGAGGCAGCAGTACTCTTTCTTCTCTCAATGTACATAATGCCAACATGAAAAGTGTTTGGGTGAATTTTTTTTTATTTCTCTTTGTGAATAACGAAGCTAATCCAGTATCTCCACACTGGTTAACATAGAGAAAATAACTTTTCTTCTTCTCGTAAACCGGAATGGTTTAAGGACAAGGTTAGAAATGAGTGTGTTTTTATCCCCTCTGTCTGACGAGGATAAGATAGGAAGCGTTGTCTCTGTGACTGATGGTCATAGTTAGGGCATTTCATTAGATGTCACTTGATAATCCCACAAAAAATACAAGTGAAGATGAGATTTATAAAATAGTTATCACATACTGTATGTTTCCCTCCAGAGACAACTTTTACAGCTTACCAGAGCAAACTGTGATACTTTGTTATACCTCAAACAACACTATTAATAATCTATTCAAACGTTCAACTGAGCCTCACGAGATTTACACAAGAACTACAGTGTTTCTGATAGTGGAAGGATTTAATGAAATCTGTTCATCTTAAATGATGAACAGTTAGACAAGGAGGCGCTAAAACAAGGCAACAAAATATTCATATCCTTAGATCAAGTTTAATTACACTGCGTCAAACAATTAAACCAAAAATCTGGATAAAGTAAAGAACTGTTGGGTTTCTATTGACTTCATACTGATAACGATGTTGTCCCTTTACAGTAATACTAAGCTTTTGGTCATGTCATCACGAGTGTCAGAACAAGCCGCACACAATGTAAGCACAACGAATAATGTACATGAAAAATCCCTCTCGCATTATGTTGTATTTTTGTAGACATCTCTGCTGAAAACTTGCGAAGTGACGTTTAATACACACGACTTAGTTGTAGACATCACTTCCATGGCTTGGTTACGGAGACAGCATTATGATTAAGCTTTATTTTTTCTTCCAACTCGATAGATCGTTTAAGATGCGACAGAGTTTTTGCCCAAACTATACACGGATATGACTACATCAACCGCGCCATGTTGGATCTAACAACAGTGTACAAAACAAACCTGTATCAGTGATCTGATGCTGAGTGTAATGATGAAGACGGGAGAAAAGAATTAGTTTTTCCAAGTAAATAATGTTTGTAAATACCTCACTGAGGTTTTTATTTTCACTTAGATTATCTGGATAAAGTATTACCATCACATTTACTCGATGCACACCACGGATCTCACACAGCCACTTGCCTACCCAAACACCACAACCTGAGGAGACTTGACGAGAATGATGAATGAATAGTAAACAACAAACAAAATGTCCCAGAATTCTGTGACTGGACAAGTGTGTGTGTCTGTGCTATGTTGATAAGAAAAGACCAAAAACATCAAGTTATGTACTGAAGATATAAATTATTCCTCTTGAACAATTCTTGATTAGTATAGTAACTGGACTAGTACAGTACACTGAAAATACTTGTACATTCTATCCACGAGACCTGGGCCGGGCAGGAGATAATGCTTAGTGTGTGTAGTCATAACTCAAAAGACTCTAAACTCCACCACTATGCCAGTTGTCAATGGAATTCCGCGCTACTGCAATATATGATAAGGAAGACCAATTTCCTCATTGGATTTATGTCAGCGTGTATCATACATACAACACACATCTATGAAATATGATAGCAGGAGAAACGTGATGGATTGTTATTTCAGTTCATCTCAATTTGCAACAAAGGTTTAGTATTGTCGATGTTGTTACCTATTGTCTCTTACTCTAAAAATAAGGAGGGAATTTTCCTTCAGGTCACTTTAAAGACAACAGTGGAGATTTACCCTTAAACCGTAAAAATAACAGAACTATAATAATTATAATAATAATAATAACAATAATAATAATAATAATAATAATAATAATAATAATAATAATAATAATAAATTATTAAAGTTTCTTCACAAAGATAGCCTGAACAATGTACTGTACGTCACATCAAAAAAAAGTGAACAAAAAAGATACAAAGTCTGACCGAGGGCCCGAGTGATTGATGAAACACTGGGAAAAGTTGGAGAGAAAAGAATGGAAGGGATAGGTGGATGAGAGAACAGGAGGAGGGTGAACGGGAAGAGGAGAGATGACAGGGACACCAGGAGAGTGAGGTGACCGGCTACAGCTGTATCATAGCTAAGTGTGCAGTACTGGTAAAATGGTGCTGCAGCCGACGCCACCTCGGGATGCAAATTGGCCATTATGCATAATATACGCGCACGTCATAAAAGTGTGGCGATATAGGTGGACTTATGACCATACTGGTAATGTGAAGAGGAGAAGGTGGTCTCTTAGAGGTTGGAAGCGTGGTGGGATGTGGGTGATAGAGGGTTAATAAGAGATGGAGGGCTGGATACAGTGCTTGCCGCCTGTCCTAATGGTCACTGATTTACGCAAAGGGCACCCTCTGTCCACCCAGCTGTGAATGGGTCCTAAACTTATCACACTGTTTTTTCGTCTTCCTCTTTTTTGTAGTCTGTGGTCTTGTTTCCTTTAGTATTATTTTACATTATGATGTTTCACCCAGATTTTTTTAGAATGTTTTATGCTTAATGGTTTTTGCAATAAAGTTCTGCTGTACAATGCATAGAGACTTACACTCTCACGTACAGAAACACAAGGAGGATATATTAATTTATATATGTATATCCAAACATAAACCTATGAATTTTAGTTCTAACGTAGAGCCAAGCAAACATGATCTTTAAACACCAACACACTCAAACACACAAGCTCAGGGAAGCAAAGAAAAAACTCCAAATTAACAGCACGAGACTGTTTGTGTTAACTAAATGTTGACTGTATTTCACTATCCCTTATACACCTGTCGTGAAAACACAACCTCTATTATCATTAAGAGAAAAACAGGTAACTGGATATTTGTTAACCTTCATTACGCTCTCTTGTATCTGTGTGACAAATATTAAACTTAAAACTACTGTCCAAAAATGTATATTTTCTCGCACTCGACGTGAGAGGTGAGTTGGCCAGGTAACAGAGAGAATCAGCTCCCCCACGAATCTCGCCCTCTCCAGAGTATGGCTCATTCGCGCCTTTTAAACAGGGTGGACCTAATTGCAGTCTGTTGTACTATATCAACGCCCAAGACATTTCTAACAAGGGGGCTGAGGCCATTCTAGGTTACATCGCAAATTCGGATTTACGCAAACACATGCACGTATTATCTGCAATACGGAGTTAGATGATTTATTCAGCATCACTGACCTCGTGGTGATTCTTGAGAAAAGAGAAGTAATGCTGGGAAATTGTTAACACAGTAAGCTAGAAATAATCATTACCAATACTCTATTGAGTGTCTCTGAAATCCCAGTCAATATGTCCGTATATCAAAACATTTATTTATTTCTCGTCCTTTCATAGTTAAAGGTTAATTGACTTGATTTACCTTATTCTTCTTTATGAATGGCAGTATTTCGTATTTTACTTAAAAGTCTGTAGAACAACTATCAGTTTCCATGACACGTTATACTGTACATCTCCTTCTCCAGGTACTAGTATGTTTTGTTGTCAGTTCGTGTTAAGACATATAATGCGTTTGTAAAATCTATAGAAACTAAAGGAGGGTCCTTAACACGTTTAAATAAATCTGTATCCGGCTGGCATCATTTCCAACTTTCATTTCGTCCTTCCAATTACGTCTGTCATTACAAATACGCCTCAATCATAGTTCATGTTTCATTGACGCAGCTTTATTAAATGATCACCAGAAGAGTCAAGGTTAAGTGTGATAGAACAGATTAGCTCCGGTGAGGAAAATAACGCTGAGTAATAGGACTGCAGTCATTAACCTTGGTGGGGTCATTGTCCTCCACCCACCATGATGAATGACCACAAGTTGGGGCTGCTGCGTTATGTAACTTCTGAGAAGAAATTACTTGACACAATATTATGCTTACCATCTCCGCCCCCCCTTCTCCAAATACCTGGGAACTATTATTATTACTATAGTCGACCTACTGACAACTACAGTGTCTTATTAAATGGTTTACGTGAAGTTGAAGCTAAAGAAAATGATACCACCTTCATGAGTGAGGACCTTGGTATGAGTAACACCTTCTATATAAACGTTTGTGGTAGTGATGGGTTAAAACTCTTATATAAAGACAATATATTTAGATTTTCTTGTGTCATTTGGTAGACGAGATGACGTGAGTGTGGTGATCAAGACTGTGGCTCTCTGTTTTTATACATGTCTCTCTCTGCAGCTCAACTCTGTTCATACTGAATATTGTCTAGTCACCCTGACAACCGGAATAGCAAGAAACCTTTTAGTTGTT